ATTTTAAATATAATAATTATAATAGATAGTTAAGTATATATGTTACAACGCAAATTCCTGCTCAACAGCAAATTCTATGCTGTTTGCAATTTATTTTATCGAGTATCTCGGTTTTTCTGCTGTGACCTATCCGTCTCAGTCCGGGTTGGCCCCATTTACCGAGCAGACCACTTTCTTTTTTTTCTTTTTTTTTTTGGGGGGGGGTATGTGTTTTACAGTGCTTGCAACTGCATAAGGTCATATGGAGCGCGCACGATACACCAAATATTTTCTATTGGTAGAAAATTTTGAATTGTGCCCGGGTGGCAGCCAAAGCCTACTCTTATCAATTTTAGACCCCCAAGGGATCTTTAACATGCGCAACTTGCACATAGGACCTCTGAGATTTTTCACCCATGTCCGAGAAGGCTAGGTGTAGATCTTTCCTACCAGAAGATCATGGGTGTGGCTCAAAGACATCAGTAAGAGGAAACCAAGGAGTAGCAGTAGAAAGGCTGCTGAAAGAGTCGGGAGCCTAGAGGAGGGGGCAAAGGAGGTGAAGGGGTGGAGGCAGAAAGTGGAGATGAAAGCAGACATCAGAACATTGCTAGAGAGCAGGAAAGGAGGTGAAAGGAGACCATTATTTAGAGAAGAACATTTTTCCGTCGCTACCTGGCTTCGAAACCGGAACCTTTGAATGAGAGGCAGACAACTTAATCTCTAGACCATAAGAGCCCCCGCAGAACATCTGATAAATGACCTAAACAATGATGGCGTAAAAACCACCTGCATTAAAAATGTTTGATGTTTGTTTTGTTTGAATTTTATTAAGAAAAGTCTATCATCACAATGATAGTTATTTAGTGATAGAAGGAAAAAAGTAAGACAGGCAGACAGAAACAACATTGAGAAAGTTAAAGCTAAGAAGTAGGACCTACCAGTGGAACCCTCCAACCACCCGCTTGCATTTTAAAAAAATCCAACTATTATTAATTAGAATAAAACAGTATCTAGTGCGTTCTGCACAACAACAACAAAACATATTTTAATATGACCAAAAAAACAGTTTACTGAATGTCATTGCCAAAACAATGGGAAAATAGAATTTAAAATGCCAGATTTTGCATGGAATGGACAAATTTATACAAAGATTGGTGCAGGTGCATTTCATCTTGTACTAGGAAAAACAAAAAGAGTAACATGGTGTGTTAATTTGATATGTGATGAAATCTTTTGGGAATATTACTCTTCAAAACACAGACACAAAAAAGTCCTATAATTGGTCACTTTATTTGAATAGCTAACTGCTTTCTAAAAACCTCTAGAAATTGATTTGAGTGATTGTTGAATGACACTGATGATAAATAGGCTATGAATAGCGAAGTCCGTAGGAGTACACTGGAAGAAAAAAGGGTGACAAATGAGGTTTTTTTAAAATAGTGCCTACTAATATAATTTGAAGAGATACAGTAGCGTGCACCTTGAAGAAGGGTGACAAATAAGGTTTTTCTTATAGTATAGTAGTAGTAGTCGTAGTATTAATACCATTTGAAGTGATATAGCGAGGTGTATCTTGAAAGAAAAAGGTGATAAATGCAGGATTTTTTAATAACCGAATAATACCATTATAAGAGATATAGTGAGGTGCATCTTACAATTTGTAAACAAGTGTTGAACCTAGCCACAGATTATAATCCTCACCCAAGACCCTTACTACCCTTCACTCTAACTCTAACCCATAAAGTTATTATTATTCTTATTCCAGTACTTTAAAGGCCAAAACCGGAGACTTCTAGTCTTTTTTTCAGAATATCTTATTATTTATACCAGAAAAAAATATATAGTACTTAATTTATACACTGGTAGCTGTAGACTTTCACCATACTTGGAGATAAACTAAAACTAAACTGAATGATACAGGTGCAGAACTGTGAAAGGGAAACTATAACTCTTCAGTTCTAGAGATCAGTTACCGTTGCTAGAAAGGCCAGCCAAAATAAGATTTTGGAAGGTGATTTACTTATCTGGGCTGTATATATGTAAAAACATGTACAATATTTTGTTTAAAAAAAATATATTTAAAAAAAACAAAATAAAGCAGGACCACAAGACTCATTGTTCAATAACAATCAATTTGATCAAAAGACTTTACACAGATTGAAATGCAAGTATTGTGAGCCATGAGTAAAATTCTGTAATCAAATAAAATTTTGACAGTCAACTGTCAAGACAAAAATATTATAGTCTATCAAGCGCATAACATTAAAAAAATTGGTGAGATGTGGAAATCTTTTCGTTAAACGAACTTTGCTATATTAATATTTTGTGGACCAATTTCAAGCAACCGATATGTCAAAGGAGATAGACAAAGTTGGTGGACTATGGACCATGAGTTATGGCCCCTACATTTTGCTAACATGCGTGTTGATTTCATAGACTATAGACTCTTCTATTTGAAGGGTTTTGACATTTTTAAAAATCCTATTGTCCAAGAATCAGCCGTTTTACCTTGACTGAGAAACCTTTCCGCTTCTTTCTGTCAACAGCGCCTTAGTCCACCCTTTGCTACAACTATACTGAGACTTCACTTTGTAGAAAGCTGGCAACCTGCTGCTAAGTGTGTAATCTCTGTTGAAGGGGAAGCCCACGACACATTGAGAGAGTGGAGGAGGTGGTGGGAGAGAGGGAGGTGGTGGGAGGGAGAGGGAGTGGAGAAGCTCTCAACTGCAGAAGGTCATAAGAGCGCGCGGGACACACCAAATATTTTCAGTTGGTAGGAAATTTTGAATTTTGTACAGGTGGCAGCCGAAGCCTTCTCTCATCGATTTTGGACCATCAAGGGATCTTTAACGTGCGCAACTTTGCACACGGGTCCTCCAAGATTTTACGCCCTTCTCCGAGAAGGCTAGGTGTAGATCTTACCTACCAAAAGATCAGAGGTGTGGCTGAGAGACAGCAGTAAGAAGGAGACAAGGACAAGCAGTGGATAGGCTGCAGAAAGAAGCCCAGAGGAGAGGGCAAAGGATGTGAGGGGGTGGGGGCAGAAAGCAGAGACAAAAGCTGACGACAACATTGTTAAGAGCAGAAAAGAATGTGAAAGGAGGAAATTTTAGAGAAGAAAATTTTCTGTCGCTATCCGAATTTGAACTCGGGACCTATTGAAAGAGAGGCGACCACCTTAATCTCTAGGCCACGAGAGCCTCCCCTGACAATATCTGGCACATGTATACCATGCAGAATGCCTTCAGTAACACACGACTCCGAACACACAACTGAAGTGTGCACGTTAGATATTCGGCTGAACACTGGTGATACATGTATTATGCAACAATGTGTACTTGGCCTACCCTACACTATTGCTGCTCTAGGCTTATACCTGCAGAGCGGTCATTGGCCTACTCTCATTAATCATTTCATACCCCGCCCCCCTCCCCCCTCAACCTCTCTCTCCCCCTCCCTCCCTCTCCCTCCCCCACCTCCCCCCCTCTCTCTCTCTCTCTCTCTCTCTCTCTCTCTCACACACACACACACACACACACACACACACACACACACACACAGACGCATTACTCTTACTTCGGAAAACGAGGCTAAGTCTTTTTGTTTATACAAATTGCTTTCGTTGTGTGCGTGTTTTGAATACCAAGATTACAACTTCAAGATTATAAGAAAAAATTCAGAACCTGAAAACCTTTATGCTAAATGTGCCTTTTCTGCTTTGTATGTGTTCACTATATATCCGTGACAAGTTGTATGACTTTCACCACCTCTATTCTAAAGTGCTAAGAAATCAATCAAATAAAATGGTATAGTAGAGTATATGAGTGAGGTATCGTGGTGAAATCAGGCGCTGGTCAAAATAATGAAAGTCAAGGAACTGGCATTTTTCAGCAGGTTTGGGAATTTTAATCGAATTTTGTTTTTTGGCTCAACAACTTTCAGGTTCTTTAAAAATCACTTCTGCGCGGATTTTACTGAAAACGTTGATCAAAGGTATCAAATATATAAATTTTCATTTTCCGCGGACTCTCTAGCTAAGGAAATAACTCAACTTTGGCAGCCATTTTCTTGCTAATCTTACCTCTGAAACGAGGCAACTCCACCTCCTTCAGTTGCTTGTATCCAAGATAAATGAATATTTGTTTCATCAAAAGCAAGGCAAATGGACAGGCTTGAGCTGTCCCCGTAGAATTATGCGATTGTGCGGCCGCGTTTTTTCGTGAAATTCTGCAACATTTGCATAATTTTGGATTATCCGCGTTTTTTCACGTTTTTTTCCTTTTTTTCACAAAACAATTAATTAACGCCTCGCCATGTGACTAAAGGGACGTTATCATCGTAACAACTATCATTTATGTGAAAAGTTGGTTATTTCCCTTGTTAGAAGATCTTGGTTATGGGTTGTGATTTTGTTCTTTGAGCATGTTCTATTTTTCAATCCATCAAAAGTTGTTGTTCTCATGTCTGCTGATGTTTCATGTTTGACAGGTGTCTCTGGTTTTAGTAATGTGCCAGCATCAGAGGTCCAGATGTCCTTTTTTTTTTTTTTACGCTTTTCTTTCCTCATCTAGATCTACAGCTGAAAGTTACAGAGATTATTATTTTTTGTTGTTTGTTTTTTTACTGATACTGATATGTTCTGTTTTCAATTTTTCTGTACATAAAACATGAAAATCACGGAACTTCGTGTTGAAAAAGTGCAAAACATGTCACGAATGGTGTTACAGTAGCTTGCATAATTTTTGCATAATTTTTGCATAATTTGGCCTTCTAAATTTTCATAATTCTACAGGGACAGTTTTAAGAAGGTACCTATAACCCCAAATGCCCCAAAATTGAGGAGTGCCTGATTTCACCGCGTCGTGACACAATTTTTATTAGAGGGTACAAAAAACAACTATTACTTCATATACATATATAAATAACATCCTTGAATCAAAAGGATGCAGTATCAAATCACATTAGAAGTACAGGTTTGATACACTTACAAAGAGGGTTTCACCACTGTTACAACTTCTTAATTTCCAAACAAGTTTCAGGGGGGGCTTTTCACAAATGTGACATCAGGCTGAAAAGAGCAGTGAGTACCTTGCCGACAGGAGCTAAGTAATGGTAAAAACAACAGCAACAGTGCTGCCTGTCCATGCAAGAGATCTGCAGTAAAGATGCTGACCAATCTCTGGCCTGGCACCCCCCACTCGTCAATTTACATGGCCTGCAACTGGCGTGTCTGGTCCGCCATTTTGACGAAGCGAATCTCTCTGGCCAGCTGGCAGAGAACGCACACTCCACAGCAGCACACTGTACAACAGTCATCAAGCAGGGATCCCTGGAAGAAAGACCGAATTTGGGGGGGG